GCCCCTCATTTATTTGAATGTTTGCTAGCCAGAGATTCATGACTTTTTCACACCAAAGTCAAGTCAAATATCCACAATGCACGAAAAACGGATTGCCAAAACCGTATCAATTTCAGTTTTCTAGAATTTCAGGTTTTTACAACTTCAGGTTTTTAGACCCTCAAAACTTCAGAATTTCAGGTTTTACAATTTCACAATCTCAGAAACTCAGAATTTCGTAATATTAGAATTTCAGGATTTTGCAAATTTCATGTTTACAGAATGTCAGAACATCTGGATTTCAGTAGTTCAGAATTTCATATTTGTATATTTCCAGGTTTTCAGAATTTCAGAATTTCAGAGGTTCACAATTTCAGATTTTTGAATCCTAAGAACAATATATTTTCAGATTTGTACACTTTCGAAATTTCGATATTTTAGAAATTCAGAACCTCCAGAATTTCAGAACTTCAGATTTTTAGATTTTCGAAATTTTTCGATTTCAGAAACTCAGAATTCCGTAAAAACAGAATTTCTGAATCTCAAAATTTTTAAACTTTACAATTTAGAAACAATTCTTTGCAATTTCAGAATTTCAGAAACTTAGAATTTCAGAATCACAGAATTTTCAACATTGAAAATTTGATAACTTCAGAATTTCGTCATTTCCTGATTTCATTTTTATTTTGTTTAACAAAACGAACATTTAACTAATTTTACGAATTTTACGAACCTTTATTTCATTAAACTTTTAAAACAGTTATTTAAAAAAAGACAAATATTCACATATAATGAAGTCATTCAAGGGTACGAAAAAACTACTCACGAACAACATCAAAAGTAAAGCGACATTATAAACAATCAAATTAAACGATAGGATCAGCCCAAACACAGTCTTCCTCAATCTTCAAATTGTACTTGCTTCCAGAATTCTTATACTGAGAAGTGACGATCTTGAACCATCCACGCTCTCCCCATGGCTCTCCCCAAGAGTTTCTTCCAATCCAATATTCAACTCCAGTCTCATGATCAACTCCCCATCCGTGAACCGATATGATATGATCGATATCTTCATCAGTGACCTCCTTATAGATTCCTCCAGCATATGTTTCGAATGCTTTTGTAGCGGCAATTCCACAGGCGATTGGTCCCTTATGGTAGATTTCAGCCTTCATTTTCTCGTATCCACGAACTGTTCCGTATTCAGAAACTTTGTAGAGAGTGTAGTTTTTGATAGAGAAGCACTCTCCTGGCCAGCAAGATCCGCAACGATTATATGGATCGCACTCTGCAAATTTTTTTTTGGTTTCTAGTAGTTTGGTCCCTTTTCTATATCTTACTTCCGTCTCTGGCTTGGTAGTTGTTGCAAGTTTCGTGTGGAATTCCATGTTCATGAGCATATTTGTACACTCCTCCTGGCTCTCCTCCCATAACACATGTGCCTGCTCCAGAACAGTCAATCACTTCTTGAACAGAAAGATAGGCTTGTGGCCATGCATTCTTTCTCTTGATGTTGATACGATCAGCCAATGCACTCGTGGCTCCTGAAATCAAATTTTGTTTGAATGACAGGAGAAAGATAGGGAATTCGGTCACTTACCAAACGCCCAGCATGATCCGCAATCTGAAAAAAAATTAATATTAAAATATTTTTTTTGTCATATTTCTTTTTTTATTCTACGCATTCAATTCTTTCTGCAACATGCGCGCACTCGCACACAAAACATAGCAGCCGGCGGAACCCGCGAGATGTCGGTTGCTCCGGGAATACAAGTCTCCCCACTACTTTCTAGCAACAACTCTGGTTCCTCTGCATTTGACCGTGAAAATCTTTCGCCTTTTACTAAAGATTTCCGTGCAAAGGAGCAAATACTGAGTATTACTATCAATTTTTGGAGCCTCCTCGAAAGAGCGAGGCAAAAAAGAATATCTCAACATACATTGTGGAATGTGTTGGTTTCTGTCAGCAGAAGCGTAGTTGATTCCATTAGCGTCTCTCCAATCCCAGACCTTTGGAAGATCCTCCGAATCGAAGTCCTCTGTCTCATAGATTCTATCGTAACGTCTGAAAATAGCCGATAACTACCAAAGAGTAATTTAAAGATCACTTACTTATGCTCGTAGACATTTCCAGTTTGTTTGTAGCATCCCTTGAGATTGTATCGGTTACGATTGGAATACTTCTTCACTTTTCCAAATACTGAAGAGGCGAGAATTGAGATTGCACATAGTGCGAGAAGGAGCACAACGGTTCTCATTCCGATCCAAGTGACAAGAGAATCGAATGATGGAGGATGGCCTGAAGAGAAAAGTGGGAGGAGAATAACATGATGGGCATAAGGTTGTTATCAGGTGACTTGTAAGAGATAGGCAGTTGAAAAGAAAAAAGATAAAGGACGCGTTGGTGACATTCGGAGGAAAGAACCAAGTGTTGATAGGGGGTGAAGGACAACGAGGAATTGAACAGAAAACACTTTTTTTTTCAATTTCAAAACAGATTGTGTTAGGGGGAAAATTGAGTTCCTCTGCATCTCAAGATACCTCTTTCGAAGTTATGGAAATCAGAAAAATGAATCCGGAAGTCTCCAAAAAGGAGTACTGAAATGAACCAAATTGTCATCTTCCGTTTCTGAATAAGTACTAAGTTCGTGTTCGTTTGGTCTTAAAGTTTCAGGGGTTATAAATTGAATGGAGAACTCTATTTTTGTAATTTTGTACAACTGTGAAAGAAAAAAGCCATCAAAGATATATTTGAGTCGAAGTTTGATATAGTTTAATTTTTAATTGACAGGATTAATTTTCCTCGTCCAAAATATAAATTTCCTCCTACTATTTTTCTCGGACAAAAAGCTATAAGGCTGACAAAATGACCATCACCTCTTATCTTAAATGAAAAAGTATATTGAAATCAGACATCAAACGATTAATTTTCCCTTTTATGGAAATGCTCAATCGGACGATACAGAACACAAGTGAGCTTATGATTAGGCGACTGGTAGTATCCGAAGAGTTATCATGAAGAGTAAATAAAGCTAAAGTGATTATTCAGATATGCAGATTTCAGTCCAAACGAAAAACTACAGTATTTTTTTCGTATTGAGATTAAGATTTTCCTTCCAACTAAACCTTCGATCACCTCACCAAATATACTTTGATGAGTTCTTATCAGTGTTGACCCAGTAAATGACCACTCCAATAATTGATACAGAGAGAATCAAGAGCACATCACGTGAGATGGAATTATTGTGGACACGACAGTATTATGATGGTGTCTTGCTGTCCAGCACAATCAAAAAGTCTTATTTAAGGGAGTGATGTTTAGATACATAATATTTGTGGAAAGTTTGGATTCAGAAAGTACAATACAAAAAACACAGAAAAATTTGAAAACCTCTAGCCTTCATTACCATCAATTTTTTTCGACCTCCTACATATTTCTATGAATTAACCAGTCTCTTTGGAACCACAATACACTTCAATGGTCATTTATTTGCGAAAAAGATAAAAAACTGAAACTTATTCCTACCAAGTTTTAGTCGCAAGAGATCAGAAGACAAACTGGCCCACAATTTTAACAGCTGAAAAAAGTACAAGATAGGTTAGAGCATTCTTCAAGATTTCTATACTTCGGATAAAACATTTTTTAGGTGATAAGAATATCACATATCTTTTTGGATTAGGACTGTAATGGCATAAATGTCCATGTCGTCTAAAATATGAATAAAGTACTGCACAGGAAAAAGGGACAAAGGGGGTCAAGTCATGAATAATTCTACCATTCTCAGTCACTGAAATCGAATGGCCACATAGATTCTGAAAAAAGAAAAAAAACCAGAAGATACAGAAATAGATTGATATTCTTTTTTTCAAAAAAAATCAGTCATATGAAAGCTGGCAAAATCTTTATTTAATTCAATTTTGGCTATTGGAATAAAAATACAATGAAGAAAATGGCTAAGGAATTCAGGATTGAATTTGCTCCAGCAACAAATGCAAAAATATCTTCTTCGAAACACAAATTCTCTTCTTCGCAATCCACTTCCAATGATTTCAGGGCTTCAGCTTGTGGGTGGGAGGGGACTGTCACTTTAGAAGGTATCGCTGGCGGAATGGTTGTAGGTCGTTGATCTGGAGTCGATGGGACCTTGATAGTAGTTTGATGATTCACTGTGATGGATTCAGTAGATTGAGGTGATGGCGTGGAGAGAGAAGCTGTAGTCGCTGGTTCCTTAGTTAAAGAATTTCCCGTTGTTGCCGTCGCAGATATAGAAACTGTGGTAGATAACGTAACATTTGAATTTTGTATAGTAGTTGGCTGAAAAGTAGTTGGCACAACAGATGTACTATTTATAGAGGTTGTTGATGTTTGCTGAGGTGTAGAAGTAGTTTGCGAAGATCTAAAAAATAATACAGCACAAATCCAAGCATAAAAATTTTTCTTACGTTTCACATATTCCCGAAAAATCACAAAGAGCTTTTGAACGGTAGTGCAGAAAAAACGCCTCAAAAATTGTGTCGTTATCTGAATGAATTAGTTATTCAGGCTTTAAAAAATTCCGATATGACACCTTTAGTTGGTCCAATGATTATTCCAACAATTGAAAATGCGTTCTTTCCGGAAATCACAAATCCATGAGTTCCTTTGAATGCTTTCAAACAGAAGATTGAGGGTTTCTGAGATGGACACTGGACAACCTATAAAGAAATTATGTTGACAAAATTAAACAGAAAACGAGTAAACCTTTGCAGAAACATCAACATTCGCACCCATCACCACTTGGACGTCTTCGTTAATCTCCATCTTGTTATCTGAATTCTCAGGAAATTCGAAAAAAGTAATCGGAAAAAAACCCACTTCGAACACAAAACCATTTATCCTGAGGATGTTTATTCTCTGGATGAGAATCTCCTAGAATCATTCCAGTTGGTTCGTTCTTACACTCTCCAATCAATTTTGCAGAAAAGTTGCCTGTTGTATTGAGGAAATTTGAGACACTGTTCCCACGACTGAAACTCAGAAGTTCAACTTTGACTCCTTGATTACATATTACTTACGTTCCACATTCCATTGAATGATAATTGGTCAGGATACGAATATCAGTCAGGAAATGACGAGGAGAGATGTAAGCAAGGAGAACATCGTCTTTGGTTTTTGAAATCCCCTCTTTCAAACTGAAGAAAAAAGTGTCTTTATGAAGGAATATTAACATACTCTTTGAATTTCCCACATTTGGATAATGTCTCAGTGATCTCCGCATCGGATAGCTTCGAAAATTCTTCTTTCGTACATAAAACAAAAGAAACCAAGAGTAGCAATTTGATGAACGCTCCAATTGAGACCATCGTTCTTCTATGAACCGATCACAGTGGAAATGTATCTTCCAACGATTTTAAACCTCTTCTTTTTACAATTTTCTCCAACTCATTGTTTAATTATAGAATGTTCCCACGGTAATCCATTTTTAATGTATTTATTTATCCTCCCGATGTTCCTCTTTGCTTCCCCCGAAACTTCTCAGACGCTCTGACCAAGTTTTTTCTTTTTCTTTTTTTCGTTTTTCGTGTTTCCTCTTCCTCTTCCTCTTCCTCTTCCCCCGCGACTCCGCCTACTGCACACAAAACATAGTGGAAGGCGGAACCCGGGAGGTGTCGGCTGCTGTCAGGATACACCTCTCCTCACTACGTTTTATTGTTAACTCTGGTTCCTCTGCATTTGACCGTGAAAATCTTTCGCCTTTTACTAAAGATTTCCGTGCAAAGGAGCAAATACTGAGTATTACTATCAATTTTTGGAGCCTCCTCGAAAGAGCGAGGCAAAATAATCTAGAAAATAGCAGTAAATAGTTTATTTTCGACGAAACAACTTAAGTGAGTCTTCTCATAAATTCCTCGCAAACGATCGGGGTGCTAGTAGGTCCACGAATACCACACCTGAAAAAATAGATGGGAATTTCCATTGGGTTTAAAGGGCTTACACATTGCGGTTGATGCAAGTACTGGTAAGACTGACCAATACTGCTCTCGATGTGATCGATTCATCTGTTCGTGTCAAAACTTCACACTGGGATGCTTGGAATGTCCATGTTACCTAAAGTATAATTCATATTTTGAAGTTATGAATTTTTAATTACAGTTTGAACAAGACGACCATTATCATTGACGGCTTTCAGACTGACAGCTGGACTTTGGATTGTGGCACTTCCAAAGGAAATGGAGGCATCAGCATCCACATTTCCGGAAAGGAACACGATGAAAATTAAGGAAAAATACACGAAGAACTTCATGATGTTTTGCTTTCGAATGAAATTTTTCTCCCTATTTATAAACATTCTCAGCTTCCTGGTTCATGGATGTTTGTTTTCTATATATGTTTTTAATGTGAATAAAACAAATGATTCATGTAAAAAAAAAGGTTGGCCTTTATACTTGAAAGATGAACTCCTTGGTTTCAAAACGATCCTCAGAAATTCGGAGGAAGGGATAGCAATTTTTTTCTTAATAATACAAGCTTCAGACATTTGTTAATTTTGATCAGTTCAAGTAGGTATTTGAATAAATTTTGATAAAATAGATAACGACAAAGCAGAGTTTGCACGGAGGAAAATTAAGGAGCAATTCGACAAAGAGTAGCATTAGAGAAACCATTAGAAAGATCAACTTGCGAATTAAAAATTTCTGATAGAATGCAAAATTTTCCATTTTGAAAATTCTGGAAAGTATTATAACTTGGACAAGAACCTATTTTATTAAGTCTTTATTTCCATCAACTTTCCTGTTCTCATTCTCCGAATATTATTCTGGTGACCGTCGCAAAAGGTCAACTTTTTTCTCCAAAATAAGTCGGAATATAAAAAATTATTGCAACAAAAAATTGAGGGAAAACGAAAATGGAGACAAGAAATCCGGAAAATTGAAATCATTTTAGGTTACGGTAGTTCTCGCTGTGGGACCTTTGGAAACGGCTACTATTTCTCTTTCATAGATTTTGGTTTCATAAATCTGAAAACTCTTTCTTTTTTGAACAAAAAGTTCATTTTTGGTACTTTGAAGGAAAAAAAAGAGAATAAATCGGGTTTTGATAAGAATAAACCCCCTTTTTTCCGCCCGCTCGTCGAAAAATCTTGTGATTGATAACTGATAAAATTGAATAAATTGTACTCATTTCTCACTCATTAATAGTTTCTGTTTCTCCCTTTTTTTTCCTTTCCATCTATTTCAGACCAGATAGTTTCAGACATGAGTATCCACGTGGATAAACCGGATTCAATGCAAAATGAGCTAGTCGAGATTCAAGCTCTAGGATTGACCCCAAATCAAATTTATACATTCAGAATGACGTAAGCATCCTCAGAATAAATAAGTATTACGATTCCGTGCTTTAGGCTGAAGCATGACTATGGTACTCATAGATCAGAAGCTACTTTCAAATCGGATCCTGCTGGAAGAATTGATTTGAAATGTGCGAGTCCATTGAGAGGATCCTATCATGGTCAGTGACCAAAAATCTGTCACAAAAGTGAAACAAACGTTTTCAGATGCTGATCCGATGGGATTGTTTCTTGGAATGAAGCCATGTGAAGATTTTGCATATGGGGGATACCTTCGATGTACCCCTCCAATTCCATTTTATTATCATTTACAGTAACTCTTTTTTCTCAATTTTTATTAAAGTTCAAATTTCACAGATTGTTCAATTCGGTAGGCACATTGATTGATGAGACATACATTAAAAAGCATTGGATGCATCCGAAACTGGAAAGAATCGAAATGGAAGATGATGGATTCTGCGCAACACTTTTCAAACCACCAGGTGCTCAATAATTTGTCCAGCTGGTTTTTAAAACATGATTTTGTAGGAGACGGACCATTTCCTGCGGTTCTAGATTTATCAGGAACCGGTGGAGGGATTCATGAACATAAAGGAGCAATGTTGGCATCTGAAGGCTTTGTTGTCCTTTGTGTTGCTTTTTTCCAATACAAATACTTGCCGAACAAAATGGAAGAAGTCAATATGGAATACTTTTCTGTGAGTTATTCGTCAAAAATCAAAATTTTCAGAACTGATGTTTCAGAAGCCGATCGAGTACCTAGCCAATCTTCCGTACACATTGAATGTAATTGGAATACAAGGAGTCTCTTTTGGTGCTACAATTGTTGATCTACTGGCAACAAGACATGGTGATAAGGTTAGAAATTGATGTAGAGAGAGAGTTCAAGAAACATCTTATCACTCTTGAACTGAATTTCAGAACTAAATTTTTTCTCTTTTTTCAGATAAAAGCAGTCGTCTCGATCAACGGTCCACAAGTAGTCTCCGATTATCTGTACATGCAAGAAAACGGAGAACCAATTCCTCATCTTTCTCATGGACAAGTCACTTTGGAACACTGTCAATTCATAAATGGAGTCATGTGTTCCCATAGAAACTTTCAAATTATGACCGAAAAATTGACACCAGAAACCGAAATTCCGTGGTCAAGAATTCCGACAGATGTGAAAATAAGAGTTCTTGTAAGTGATTTTTCTAGGATCACTGTGCTAATCATATGTTTCAGGGATCAGTTGATGATTTATGTCAACCATCCGTTCACGCGACTCTCTATCGACAAAGACGGCTTAAGGAAACTGGGCACGATGTGGAGGTAAGAGTACAAAAATACAGTAACCCAAATTGCTTGAAATATGTCAATTGACAGTTGGTGATAAGCAGTGTGTCCTTTCGACACGACTTCGAGAAATTTTCGAGGAATTTCGAAGAATTCCTCATCCATCATAACTCGGTTCATTTTCACGCTAGAGAGTTTATCTCACCAACATTCGAACGCTCTATTCAAGCTTAACACAATGAAATCCACTTCAGCTCATAAAGTAGGCGACACATATGGGTTACTTGGTGTCCTGGGGTGGAAGCCACCTCGGCAGATTTTTTGGAGGTTCTTACACGGCTTAATTTTGAAAAGCTAGCTCGGCAGCTAGGCGTATTATACGTAAAATAATAAGAGGAATCCAATGGTATCGGTTGCCGAGCAAGAAAACTAACACAGAAAAAGTTATTTTTTGGAGCAGAAAAACCATACTTGCTAAATCCCGGCCCAGCCCGGGTAGACCCTGGCTGCGGCCCGGGCCCGGGCTGGAGAAAAATTGGCTCTTTATGACAAGGGGGGGGGGTGAGAAAAAGGGGGCCCATAGGTAAAAATGTGGACTAAGTTAAGATTTACCAATTTTTTCTAGTTTTGTGACCGTTTCCTTTAAAATTTGGAGCTTTGAACACTTTTCATAATTTTTTTAAAATTTGCAGTTTATGTCATTTCTTGCATATTGGTTGTATATTTGTTTTATGATTAAGCATGGAAAAATCTGAAACTATCTGAATAACTTCAAATTACACAGTTACAATGGAAAAAAATAGTGTTGTTCATACAAAAAACCGGCCTAAACTGAAATGTTTTGAAGTGACGAATTTTTGTGGAAACAAGCGCAAAGTACGAAATTTTTATAGAAACATTCGAAAAACTAGAAAAAATTGGTAAAGCTTAACTTAGTCCACATTTTTACCTATGCACCCCCTTTTTGACTTGGGCCCCCCTATTCTCATGCCCCCCCCCCTTGTCATATTACTCTCGTCCGACAAAATCGCATCGTCGGTCGCACAGAGAAAAAACAAATTGATGCATGCGCCTTTAAATACCGTACCTCGGACGTTTTTTATTTTGGGCCCTATTTGGCTGTTTTTTTCTATTTTATAAGAAAAATAAATTAAAGATTTATAAGAATTACACAAAATTAGACAGAAACAAGCGAAAAATTAAAGAAATTTGAGAAAATTCGATAAATGTTGAGGTCCTGTATTAAAGGCGCGTGCAATAATTTTAAAAATACAGTAAGGTTCTCTCTGTGGGAGCTAAGCTCCGCCCACCGTTGTTTTCTCGGCCGCAACGTGCATTGATTTCGGACTAATAAAGAACCGAAAAATTTTCCCGGCCCGGCCCGACCCGCCGAATGGGCGCCGATCCAGAGACCGAAAACCTCAAAATTTTTCTATTGATTTTTGATATACTTTTGTCAAAATAATCATTTTAAAACCCGCCTACTTTATGTGCTGAAGTGGATTTCATGAACTCTCTAGCGTGAAAATGAACCGAGTTATGATGGATGAGGAATTCTTCGAAATTTCTCGAGGAATTCTTCGAGGAATTTTTCGAGAAATTCCTCTTCTGAAGCCAGTTATGACGAAAAGGTCGTTTCTCGAGAAATTTTTCTCGAGGAATTTTTTTCGAGGAATTTCTCGAAAAAAAATTTTCGAGGAATTCCCCGACGAATTTTTTTCGAAAATTTTTTTTCGAAAATTTTTTTCGAAAATTCCTCGAAAATTTCTCGAAAAAGGCATTTCTCGAGAAATTTTTTTTCGAAAAGACACACTGGTGATAAGGAAATCAAGTTGATAATAATATGACGAAATTGGAACAAAAAAGTTGAGAATCAAAGAAGTTAGGAGTAGACAAAAATAATCGCATTATTAAAAGATCACTTTTCCATTTTATATTAGGTTGGCAGGAAAGTAACTGTCCCTTGTTTTATTTGTGAATAATACAAAAGCATGATTAATCCAAGATTAGCAGTATACACCGTCGTGGTACACGACACGTTGGCAATGTTCAGATAACTTGTGGATACAATACCTTCAAAAGCCAGCTAGCCACGAATCAAAGTATTCATTTTTTCCTGTTTTTCACATAAATGGTGCAAGTTTTCGTATTCTCTAGATGAGGTTGTATCTCTCCGAATATTCAATAATCTGATAGAGCTCAGTCGGGCTATAAGTAGATGAGGGAGAACGGTCCCACTGAAGCTGCTTAGGTCTGACTTGACTGCAGGTAAAAAATGAAAAAACCCTCATGTTCACGGAAAGTCACGCCGTACCTGAGACGCTTTGGCTGGACGGTTCTCCTTTACCCCCGTTAAAGACTTGATTCAGCTCTATCAGATCATTGGTTATTCAAAAGTATACGACGTCATCTCGAGCTTAAGGACTTTAACACAATTGATGTCTGAAAAAATGGACTGGAGGGATACTTTGACTTGCCATTAGCTGGCTTTTGGAAGGATGGTGCCCATAAGTTACCTGAACATTGCCAACATGTTGTGGATCACGACGGTGCATATTGCTAATTCTGGACTATTCTTGTGTTTGTGTTATTTACTAATAAAAAATGGATAGTTACTTTCCTGCCAACCTAATAGTTCTAGAGTTCATCCAGAATCAAAAAAAATTCGTCTTTCAGGTTGAGATGGTGAATGGAGGACATATCATGGAACCCCCTTATTTTCCACATCACGAATTAGTTTATGCAAAGTATCAAGGATTCTATTGTGGTTACGGCGGAGAAGTTCTTCTGCATGCAAAATCCCAGGAAAAAACATGGGCTAATTCCATCAAATTCTTCCAACGAGCATTAGGAAAAACAAAACACATTGAGGATTGGCAAAGATTGGAACTAATTTTACCTCCTAGAGGAGAAAGTAAACTGTAATAAATATATATATATATAATTTACAACTGCCTCTTTGAAATTTTTATTTATTTAAATAACAAGCTTTCAATGCATTTATCTGACAACTTTTAGGGAGAATATTGAAAAAAAGATAACCTTGAGCTACAATTTCAACATTTCCTACCGTAGAGTCAGGCAATATTTTTATTTAATTTCTTCCGTTTTTCGCCAATTGATTAGGTTTTATCTTTGCCTCGCTCTTTCGAGGAGGCTCCAAAAATTGATAGTAATACTCAGTATTTGCTCCTTTGCACGGAAATCTTTAGTAAAAGGCGAAAGATTTTCACGGTCAAATGCAGAGGAACCAGAGTTGTTGCTTGGAAGTAGTGAGGAGAGGTGTATCCTGGCAGCAGCCGACACCTCCCGGGTTCCGCCTTCCACTATGTTTTGTGTGCAGTAGGCGGAGTCGCGGGGAAAGAAGAAGAGGAAACGCGAAAAAGGAAAAAAGAGAAAGACTTTATTCAGATGATTAGAGCGACTGAGAAGTTTGTGTTGTCGGAGTTTTTATGGTGTAGCATTTCACATAAAGACTTCTCGTGTAGTTCTCATTGAGACGACCCTGGAACACAATTATTTAAGCAATCGTTTAGCAGAAAAATAACTACCAATGCACTCGCGCGATTTAGACCAAGTTGTTGGGTGAATGCAGGAGAAGGCTGAAAAAATTAGAGTTAAAAGACTTTTTTTCAGAACAAAGTCTATTACATTTTGCTGCATATCTCTATAAAAATCAGCGAGATGATAAGTGATAATTGTTGCATGACAAGCTTCTAGAAGACTTCCGAGCTTGTGATTATGAGCAACCAACATCATATGTTTTACGTACATCATGTCTTCGTGATGCTGAAAATCATTTCGTCAGTTTCTTCTATCTGACCCTAACCTTGATCAGTTCTTCGAAGCAGTGTCTTTCAATTGACCCAAATAATTGTCGTTGATTGGGTCCACGGGGCAGAATCATTTCGGCCAAAGTAACGATTTCACGAGCCAGTTCTGGAGTCATTTCGAAAGGTGGATGATACGTTTCTGTGAACAACCAGGTAATAACCTAAAATTGAAATAATCGAAATCTTAAGATTTATAAAAATCAAACTGACCACTTCGATAGTCTCCAGAAATTCTACTGCCAAGGGAAACGAGATCATATCATCTGTTAACTGTTTTCGAAAGTAAGGTGAAGCTACGAATAATGCTTCTTTGTTGCATGGAAAACTCAATCGGGTGCTGGTTGTCAAATGGAAATCATGAGAATTTCTGAAATGTTTCGTTGGATTAGTAAAGATTTTCTTTCAAACTTACTTGTTCGTCAACAAGTTATATCTGAAATTAAGATCCAGTGGCATCGGTTTCCCAAAAGATCGATTCAAATACTTCATGTTCGAAAAAACGTTCACATCAAAAATAACGAAAGTTTGAATTTCGAAGAAATAGTTTTCGAAATGTTTGTGTCCAATTACAGTACCCAACCAATCTTTCACTGGTCCGTGTTCCGGAGTACAGTATCCAGCGCTAAACACAGACCGAGCTGGGAATCCAGGTGGATGAACGAAGCGAATTGGAGTGATGATATCTGCAGAGGGGGGTATCAGATTGAGTCAGTTGGGTGGAACCCCAACAAATTACCTTTTCCTGACAAGTCGATAACTCGAATTCTGAATTCAACTGACAAAACCGGTGGATGGTTTTCTCTTTGTCCAGCGGGATGCAGAGTGATTTGATGGACTGTATCCCTAGATTGTGGGTCAACAATATTTCGGAATATTGCAGGAAGTCCCCCTCCTCCGGACTCCGAGATTTGTATATGCCTGAAATAGTGAACTGTGCCATAAAAAATAGAAAAAACCAACCAATTAATTAATGAAGTCTTGTAAACTGTGGCAAACTGTCGAGGCATCATATGTTTGGCTTCGGTGGTTTTCATTCGAAAAGAGTGCGAAAATGTTATAGTATCGGATGCATTTTCAGAAGCTCCTAAAAATTTGAGTAGCCAAAAAAGTTGTTCAAGTGAGCTACCGGTTCCAATCATGGTTTCAGCTTTTACAATAGTAAGATGACAATGAAAATCTAAAATATTTAGGAATTTTTTTGTGGATATTTTTTGAATGCGTAAAAGTATAAAGGAATAATAAAATGTCGCGTAGTGTCATTAGAAATGTCACATAGTTTCGAAGTACCTGTTGCCCCAAATGGTGGGTTTTCCATTCAGTTAGAATCGATGGTATGACTTTCCAGAGTAAATGAAATTTGTAAATGTAATGAATTAATTTCTCACAGTCTTACGATTCACTGAGTTGGAAAATGGTTGAGTGTCTCATGAATGTACACTAAAACCTGTAATAGGAGGTACACTAACTTGTTATTTTAAGCCATTTTTTTAGGGAGGGGGAGCGCTAATTCTAGATTTCGGAGACCCCTTCAAAAATGTGCTTCAAAAACAGCATATTAGTGCTGAAATCAATTTCAGAACTCATAAATGTTTTGTACAGGGTGACAGGGGAAAAATGACTTTAGTGCTGTAATCAACATGTCCAAAAGTACCAGTGACAGAATTCGAATTTTTCAGGTATGATCGTGAACTGAGGATTACGTACCCCGTAGTCTGTTTTGACCCTCTAGATTATTTGCCGGGAAGCATTGATTTGTAGTTCATCATGCTTTGTTTCAGGTTGAAGCTTTTGGCGATGTGTACAAAACGGCTGTTTTATTTATGTAAAAGCAAAAGGAGAGTGCCACGAAGCCAAAAATTGCAAAAATCAAGAGTTACCGCCACAAACCTCATAAGTGTATTTATTTCTTAACAGTAGACTAAACCGAAGAAGTTTTCAAAATGAAGGCAATCCATATGGAGCAAAGTGAGATTTAAGGGTTCAAAAACCATTCGAAGTTGAGGTTTTCCAGAATATCAAGAAGCAGATAACATAGTCACTTTCAATCATGTTCTTGATTTTAAAATGGGACCCAGAGATTTGAGAGCCAAAGGATCATTTTCAACTGTTTTCGAGAGTACCATTCTAGATTGGTTGGTTCACTCCTTTTTTGATAAAACCAGCAATTCAAGTTTTTGGTTTCCAGGGACCTGCAGCTGCATAAACAATTCGGTGGTCGTATTCCCAATTTTCGCGATTCCTCGTACGTAATCAGTTTGAATGGAACAGGAGCTCGAGATCTTTATCCACCAGTTCACAGTATCAGTTTCAAATTAAATGTGCTGGATTCAGAAGGAAATAATTTCAAATCATTGAAATATTTCATCGACGGAACTACACTTTCCCATCCAAGAAGGGGAAGAATCGATCATAAATCGTATTCCACTGAAGCGAATACTTCTTTTGAGAGATCTTTGTCTACTCTGATCGCTGCTAATCAGAAAAAAGAGCACACAATGCACTTGGAAACCAGAATGGAATTCAAAAATTATGAATTCGTAGATTTCAAGTATTTGGTTGGAGAAGGAGCGCCGAATGTTTCAGATAAACGGGAATACTACTTCGATGCTCTCACAAACAGGTGGGTGGTTATAAGATGCGAGAATAAACTAGTTTATGTTTCCAGAAGCCGTCATGATCTGAAACTGCAGACTTCCGATGGAAGTCAGTATCTGATGACAAACAAGGAAATCATCTGTCTTGCTTCTTCATTCTTCCGTCAACATTTGAAAGAGCAGACAATCGAATACACAGTTGGAGTGGCTGATTCATTAGAAAGCATTGATATTGTAACAATAGTTCATAACTAAATCAAAGAATCTTTCCATTTTTCAGTGTCTGACATATTTAGTTACTGGAAGATACAAAAAACCAAAAGAATTGACACCCAAACTTGCTGCCGAAACCATGACATTGGCTACACAGTGGAAAGCATTTGAGCATAAAATACTGAAGAATTCGCTCGAAAAACATTGTTATGAAGAACTTGTCAAGGTGAGATTCCAGCAGTTTGAACTTAAAAGGAAAAGTTTAGAATCGCGAAGACTTCATGTATGTGGTCAATCTGTTGATCGTGGCTGAAGACGCGCAGTTTTCAAATGTTCAAAACTGTTGTGTGGCTACTATAAACTTCTACCACTTTCACGATTTTGTGAGAAACTTTGTCTATGGAGTACTTCGAATCATCTTTTTGGAAAAGACCTAAGTCTGAATTTTCAGAGTCATCCATTGAAAGATCGATTGACACGACGACGGGAATTCATGAGACCATCGTTGGCAATGCAAGTCAAAAGAGCGTTTGCTGCATCAAATGAGGCGACAAGATTCATTAAATATCTTCCTGCTTTGGGCGAGGATTAAACCTGAATAAATATTAGAATGAATTTCTTTTCTTTTCTGTACATTTTTATGGAACTGCAGATGTTAACAGATGCTGCAAAAAGCTAGACTTTTTCTTCACCAGTGTGTGATTTTCGAAACGACTAATTTCGAAAACCATTAACGTTCAAACCGTAAATGTTTTATTAACGTTCAAACCGTAAATGGCCTAGAAAACAGAACTAGCAAAAGATAGACCACCATGTTAAAATGTCATAATAAAGCCTGGAAAAGCCTTGTGGAGAAAGCTAGGTCACTCTATTTCTCGCATGAAACCAGAGTGGGTGATTTTCGACACCTATCAAAAAAACTCGAAATTTCGTTCGAACTGATTTTCAAAAATTTTGAACGGTTTTTCGAAAAGTTTTTCGAATGTAAAGAAAATCATTGGAGATTATGAACCTGGACATAAAAGTAAATCAAAACAATTCATGACTCTCCAGAGAATGTTTCTATTGAGTTCTTTTTATAACAAATAAATAATTCAATAATGTTTTCAATATATATTTTTTGAGTATTCTGCATTACAGATTCCCCTCCGAACATCGGCAATTGTGACTTGAATCCACTTGAAAAAAAAATCCATGAACGGAAAACAGCGCATTTACTAGACGTATCCATGGTAGAAGAACGCATTATGTCGCACCTGCACTTGATCTTTTATTCATCCAAGAGAAGTTTAAAACCCATGTAACTCAATTCGAAGGCTCTAACTCCTGGACCCAAAAGTACAGAATAGAACTTTCAGAAGCATATTTATGGTCCCTGAATTTATATAACGTCCTTTTTTCCATATTTTTGCTGTATTTCAATAAACAAACAACATTTTCTTTCCAGAACATCCTCTTTGCCAACCTATCCTAACCTAAAACCTGACCTCCAAGCTTCCCATTTCTCTTTTTAACCATATCACCTTTCGATTTACTTTTGAATGAATCAGCCAGTCAGCCAATTGGATGAATGAGAATAAGAAAACAAACAAACCAAAATAAGGAAAAAAGACAGAGGAAGAGAGAAAAAAGGAAGAGTTGTGAACAGTTTGCTACCTACACCTTCATACATTTGAATTTAAAGAGTAACACAGAAAGATAATGGGAAATGGAGAGGGTGCAGTGAAAAAGAGTATCAATTTCTTATCAGTTCAGGTTAGGTGATGATAATGCACACAAGCATATATAGAGATAGGTCTGTACGCTTCTCCTTCTCTCTCTCTCTTTGTCGCCCTCTTTCCATATTCCTCTCTCCGGAATCATGATATTTTCTTACTCTTCTACAAGTTTTTATCACTGACTCTTTTCTCTTCTTTTCTTCCTCAGCTCTTCTTTTTCTTTATTCGGCACACACACGATTCTGACTCATTTTGACCATTCCACGCACTTCGAACTATTTCATTTCCGTCCCTATTCTAGAACTCATCTTCGACCGATTTTTATTCTTCTGAAAGAATGCTTCCCTGTGTTTCAAAATTGTTCTGTAAAGTAGTAACGTCCATAAGTTGTAATTTTCATTAACTACCTTATTTTTCCCTTGTCGAATTATTCGGTAATTAGATGAAATTTAGATAGAGATACTCTTATTGATTATCATATTTATAAAGTCTGCTCATAAAAAGTAGTTTCGAATTACATACCATTTGGAGGAGAACAATCTCTTCGTTCTAAATTTAATAATGTAGTAGATGTTCTTGCAGGGTGGCGCATAATTCTCTGGACTAAAATTTTTAGCAGCATACTTGAGTGAAACCGTTGTACTGAGCTTACATTTAGTGCACAATAATTCAAATAATCCATCACTAAACTGGCCAAATTTCAAATTATTAGATCAACTTTGCGCTGAGTTATCGCTTGTCAAAGTTGCTTCATCTCATGAAAATCACCACGGCGTTCATCTTAAGACAATCATAACAATACCTAGACTTACGGAATCGTTTTGAAAATTTCAGTAGACTTGAATCATCCCTAAAATTATATTTCTTCAAACTTTCGTGCTTCCAAACTAATTATGTATAAAGATATGCTTATTTAAAATTTGCACTACCCTGTATCTTATAGACCAACAGTATACACTTGGTCATGGTTCAACAGAAAAATTAAAACTATCTATCTCTTCAAAAAATGCATTAACATATCGTTTCTCTCATCTATCACAAAATGTCCTCATCATGTTACAGTAATTTGACATTCATTAACTTTTATTTGCGAGAGAGTTTCCAAGAATGTTCAGATTTCGAAATTTCCATATCTTCTCGTTGTTCTCCCGCCAACATTCTCTCCTTATCATAACCTTTTTACTTCTTCCATCGTTTCCTCCTCACCCACACTTTTTAATTTCTTTTTTCGATTTCAACCTCTTTTCCTGCAGTAAACATGATACATGCATTTCTCACATTCTGAAAAAGAAAACTTTCGAACAATCGAACTTTTTTTCTTCTTTTTAGGTTCTCCTCTGACAATGTGGCAACTGCTGCTATTGCCACTATCTGTCTTTTTGACAGTTAGTGCGCAGACTGCAGAAGTTCCAACTCACGATCGAATCTTTCTGAAATATCCGAGCTCATATGTGAATTTCACTTCGGAAAGCTGGAAATTGAAAGGTATGGATGACCAAAAATTATTTTGTTTACTTCTAAACTGATAATAAGAAGGGTCGGTAAGGTGCAAAGAAGAGGAAGAAGAAGAGAAGAGTATTTAAACGAATGTCGTCGTATTTGGGCAAATATAAAATGTGTGAATGTTTGTTCGAGATGAATGGACAACTTTTCTTTCTCTCACCAATGCATCATCAATATTTTGAAAACGTCTTGAGATGAAAACGAAGTTATAACTCTATAGAAAGTATCCAAAGGTCATGCAGACCTGTATTACATGACACTGTTTCACTAGGATATGGGCGGGACTGTTTTGAAGCATCAGTGAAAATAAAAACTTCCGAAGTCCTGAAAAAAACGATAATGGTGATTTTTAGAAATCGATGATCAGTTAATCCTTGCTGCCAAGTTCCAAGCTTCAAGTCACATTGGCCAACTCTACAGTGTCAGATTCATTCATCCAAATGGGTCGTTAGAAGCATTGGTGTTTTTCAAACGCTTTATCAATTTCACAAAGATTTTTTATTTCAGTTGACGGTTGGGGTATCCGAAGGCAACCTTAAGATAGATCTTTTCAATGACAAACATAGAAATATTCTCAATAAGCCCCTGGAAAACATACCTATCAGTAAGTGACTAGTTCTCGTCTGTCAATGAACGTTGTGTTTTTTCAGATGTCCATGAACACAATCTTGCAGTAGGCTTAAACAGCACCGCGAAAAACTTATGGTTCAAATTAGCATCTGGAAATGATTTGAACTGTGAAATCAACCAGCCAATTCATATTTCCAATACTGAAGTGGTTGTTACGATTGGGGGAGGAAGTCAATCAATGATTGGATGTGTTTCTCTTGTTGCTGTTTCTGTTGGAAATAATGAACCAGTTGCTCATGGAACTCCTATTGCTTACCAGGATATTGAATCGTGTCCGGATGCAGATCAGTGTACAACCAAGGATTGTAATACGGTTAGTTTAAAACATTTGTGTATCTAAATATGGGAGTCTTATATTGGCCAATGGCGGTGTGATAGTAGAGAATAATCCTTTTTAAATTCCAGGGAAGATGTATGGTTTTGGAAGTTCCCACATGCGATTGTTACGGAACCGAGATGACTGGACCGAACTGCAGACAACGTCAGTGGTTATTGAATCTTGTAGAAAAAACCCTTCTGATTTTCAGCTGTCTCTACAATCCAGCTCCGAAACAATGATGAAAACGAAGAAGCATCTGCGTATCTCCGCTATACTCCATGGAAACCAGATCAGGGAATCCATAGAATCGCGATGGACTTCAGATTCTCCGATGCAGATTCAAAAGAAGGAATTCTGGTTTATGGAGAGACGACAGAAAATGAGCTTTTTAAGATTTATGTAGTCGGAGTTAAAGGGAAAGTAATGCTTGGAAGTGAGAATGTCATGGATTTCGAATTGAGAGAGGATCATTCTATGTGGGTTTCGACCTATAGTCTATTTCAACAAATCTCTTTACTTTAGGTTCCATAGCATAATTGTCCGTTTGGGAGATGGCGTATTCAATATGTTTGTGGATGGTCAAGTCACCCGTCGTCAGTTCAACAAGACTGTCGATTTCACAACTCTTCAATTCGGTGCTCCGATTCCAACTGATGTCTCTGAAGTGGGAGTTACTGCGTGCGTCAAGAATGTGTATGCGGATCATCTCGATATTATTGACTTGATGTCAAATATGAATGATACTAGAGTAAGTTGATTCGCGAGGTTTTAAATTACTTACTTTATCTATCTAGGTAATTGGAAAGGAAATCAAACCATGCATTAATGAAGATCTTTCCGAGTTCCAAGGACCAAAACTATTCTCAGCCGATCCTGTTGTCGTGAGTTATTGAATTTGGATTCTCAAATCAACTTTTGAGTTTTTGAAGATGATTAAAGAAGATCCTGAGAATGATGTTAATCAAGAAGAAGCTGCTGGAATGGACCCAAACACTGCCAATCTATTCCCAGTTCCAGGAAATAAAAAAAGTAAGAAGACCTCTCTAGGTTCAATTACTTTCTTTATTTTACAGAACCCCGTCCACTTGATGCATCTAGTTGCGAGAAGGCCAACGCCTACATGTGTCAAAATGGGGCTGGATGCAAAAAAGAAAGCGATACGAAATTCACTTGTTTCTGTAGAGATGGCTACATTGGGAAGTTCTGTCAATTCAGTGAGTTTTCAAATTAAGATCAATGAAAAAAGCATCGAATTTTCAGCGACACTTCCTCGTTCTTGTGCAGAAGCTCATGATTTTTTGAAGCTTCCAAATGGTCCAACTTGGGTGGATGTTGATGGAAATCGAAAATTGGACCCTTCGGTGACTCAGTGTATTGATGGACAGTGAGTCTATTTTAAATTTAAAAAATGATTTTCGAATTTAGAACCCAAATCCCACATGACATGGCTCCAGCTACTATTGTTCGAGATGTCGCTTTTCAGAATCATTCGATGTTTGTTCTGAGTTATAGAGATTTCAATGTAAGATTTTAAACACAACACTTCATTTAGAAAAAATAACAATTCAGACCTGGCAACTTGCGAAATACATCAAGAACTCTGGAGTCTGTTCTCAAAATATCAATTATCGATGCAACAAAGCTCCATTGAAATTCAAAGAGGGTAAAACATGGTTCAAAAGTGTCTCGAATTCAACTGAGAAAATACGACAAATTGGAATTCTTGAAAACGCTTGCCCGTGTCTGGATAATGGATGTCAATCTGGAGGTAAAGATTCTGAAACATTCAGATCAAAAAATTATTAGACATCATAAGTTAAGGTGTTTACACACGATTTGGACATTTTGGTAAAAATAGAGAAGAGATGAGCGTCGAAAATCGTAAGAATATAGTTCTGTTTTGGTGTTCTTGTGCTTTCTTTTATTTGAGTTTTGCGGTGATCGGGGTTTCATTAAGTCCAATAACTGATGACATTTTCAGAGAAATGCAATTGTGACTCTGGAGGAATCGCTGATGACATCGGAGACGTGACAGGAAGACAAGCTGGAATTTCCGAGATCGTGACACTTTTTGATGAAGCGGATGTTCGTGCAGAAATGTCGATTTCAGATGTCAAATGTTCAGGATACGGTGAGTTTCTGATTAAAATCTTTCGTTAATTAAATTTAAAAAAAACAATTTTAGAAAACGAAAAACCTATTCGATTCACAGAAAGAACAGAGCTGACGGTTAGTTTATCTTTCAATTGTATCCAATTTGAATTATTATTTTTTAGGTTTCTGATTGGACTGGAGAATCTGTGGATTTCCAATTTCGAACTTCTGATACACCTGCAACATTGGTAGCTATTCGTGGAAACTATGGCGAGAGAATCATTGCTGTATCACTTGTCGATGGGCATACTGTACAAATCAACAATTTTGAAGCTGTTAAAATTATTGAGTCACAAAATAAGTAGGTCAAGCTTGGAAAGAATTTTCGTGTAGCTTGTTTTTAGGCTTAACGACAGTAATTGGCATCACGTTCTTATTGAATTGGCAGATGGAGAGATCAGGATTACTGTAGATGCCGCCCATGTTTTGATGAAGATTGGAGATAATGCTGTTCTCGAAGGAAGTGTTGTTTTGGGAGAAGAGAATAAGTGAGTTTCCAGAAATCGCTATACGAAATAGCTTTTAAAAGCTTCAGTGGACTCATTGGGTGCATTCGAAACGTTCTTATCAATGATGAATCTTTGGATCTTTACGAAATTGTACAGAAATCCGAAAAGAAAGGAATTTCGGAAACTTGCGATACTCGATGTACTCCAGATTTCTGTCAAAATGGAGCAAAATGTTTCGAGAATTTCGTCACAGGAATGCCTTACTGTAGATGTGCATTCCCAGATGTGCACTCCGGATTGAATTGTGAAATCGACATTAATTCAAACTCATCAGTCTCATTCCATGGTGGATTCTTGAAATTCGATGATTTGAATAATGTGTTGACTGCTCCGATTTACTTCAGCTTTAGAACTGATAGAACTCATGCCTTGTTGTTTTTTGCTCATGATCAGAATAACAATTTCCTACAGGTGAGTTTTGATTTCAGATGAATTTCTCTAACTTTGAAGTTTTAAGATTCATCTTTCTGAAGAAGTGAATGTCACTCTAACCCTGAATAACCTGAATATTGTCTCTCAATGTACAGTCCGTGCTCAACGTGGAACTGAATATGGAGATATGAAATGGATTCAAGTTGCAGTAAGTCATGATTCTAAATCATCTCAACTTCAAGTCGAAGATGCTGCATGCACTATTAGAACTGTGAGTTTCAATAACTAGTATTTTTTTTAACACATGATAATCCAGAGTCGCGTTCTTTCTCAACTCCCAATCAATCGTCTTCTCGGTGTTTATAATTCTGAAATCATTCGAATGCCAGTCGGTCTTGCTGCTCCAGTCAATCCAGATACTTACACTTTTACATTTGTTGGAAATGTCGATGTTGGAGCAAAAACTAATGGTAAATCCCAAAACTTCCTGTGAGCTCACAATCGATTCATTGCAGATGGTTCCTTCATTCTAGCTCCAACATACGAATCTCCAATTCCACGGTTCTATGGATGTCTTCGAGGACTTCAAGTAGATCGGAAGTTAGTTGACATGAGAGAAAAAACGGAAAATTTGGAAACAAGTGAAATGTATGAAGCATATGGGCCTGGTAAGTGCTAGGATTGATTACAAAAATGAATCTTATCCTAATTTTCAGTTCAAGTGAAAATAGGATGCGATGTTGGATGTTCATCAATATCCTGTGCAAACGGAGGTCATTGTTCTGTTGCATGGACAAATACAGATCCATCAGCTGTGAAAACCACTTGTGATTGCTCAAGAACTAGTTACTCTGGAGCGACGTGCTCATTGGATGAAGGCGTTCATTTGGAAAAGAATGGATTCATCGAGTTTGACATCTCTAAAGAAATGATGAGAATATTTGTAGAGAGAAATGCGAAAATTCCACAACTCTTAAAATTCGCATTTTCTTCTGGAAACGTTCAGGAGCTAAATGACAAAGCAGTCTTGGCATCAGTTACCTTTAAGGACAAAATGTAATTGTACGATAAAAAGAGACACCTCGCTAGTAATAATTTTCAGGAAGCTCGAAATTGAAATCAATCCAAATCGAACCATCAACGTTGCTATCTCTTACGAGAATGGAAAGTCCGATGTTCTGAATTTCGTTGGAGATTTCTTGGATGGATATCGTCATTTCGTAGTAGTTCAAACTAATCGAGCGAGTGCTACCGCAGTTATGGTCGATTCTTTGAGACAAGATTTTGAATACCGAGATTTTGAAAGAAATATTGACATGTTCAGTGCTTCGATTGTCAAGATTGGAGATCAGTTTTCAGAGACTGAAGGATACAATAAATACGGTTTTGAAGGATGTATTTCTAGTAAGCATTTTCTAGTAATTAGGAATCATCTAGGATCCAAAAGATACTATTTTCAGATTTTATAATCGACTACCAACGCGGATCCGCTCTCACCTTCAAACCAATATCATATTTCGCCACCCCATCTCATCACCTGAATAAATTAATTCAATCCGATAAAGTTATATTGGGTGGATGCGCCGAATTCGAAGTTCCGAATGCTCTTCCTGTCTACCAGAATCGTGTCAAGTTTCCAGTTTGGGAAACCGATTTCAAAAGATTCATCTATCACGGTGAAATTGAATCTGACATTGGTTCTGGAGATAACAACGATTGGACTGAGGAGGATAGTGGATCATGTGAGTGGACTAGAATATTCCCAAGGAAAATATGTAATTTCAGTGATGTGGGTCATTTCCATCATTTTCGTTCTCTTCGTTATCTTCCTAATTATCTTCTGCATTTTTATGAAATGTTGTCGAGAGAAGATTCATGCAAGTGAGTTTTGGATTTTCGAGTAAGTGAAGCCATTTGATACTAATTTTACAGGGGATGACGGATATCTACGGGAGGAAGATATTCCTTTGAATAGAAGTCCAACTCATCATAGACAACCAGAACTAACTCCACCTCGTAAGTTAACATAATATAATTCGGGTTTCTATTCTATGATTTCAGCGCCAACCAAGAGCAAGTATGATCTTCCGACGCCGAACTTTGATTTCAATAAGGTAAGATTTCGGGAAATAGTTGTTAGAACAGTACATTAGTTGAACTTTGATTAGGTAAAACCTAGCCGAGGTTCTAGAATTATTAATCTTGGTGACGCGTGTATGTAGTTTGCGCTTTTCCATCAGGACGAACACCATGCGCGCGCCACCAGCATCACTTCGTCCGGCATCTCCGGATATTTCACTGCTCAGGAACAACTGTATGACAATGATGACGACGATGGAGTTGGCGATGATTTGAGTGAAGCAACAATGCAAAATGGAATGGAGGACAGTGACAACGATACAATCCGACATATTGATGATGAGATTCGTGAGGAAGATGGAATGGAAATTGTGTAGGTTTTTTTATTGAAAGATGGTGACTTATCGAAAACTTGCAGCTCCCGTCCAACTCAAGTGAATCATCTTCCGCAAAGAGTTTCATCATTCCGTACTGGTGATCCAACTGCTCCGAAAGACAGTCCATTGTACTCTCCACCTCGGAGACCTCCTTATGCAGTACCTGCAACTTCTCCTACTCCACCTCCCAGAATGGCAACTAATTCTCAAGTCAGCTCTGTCTAGATCCCTCCCTTCTGTGCCCATCCTTCTCCCCATCACCTCCACAGATAACGTGTATAACTTTTTATTCTTTATTAATTTGTTTTCTTTGTAATAATTTATTAGATCCCTTTTCACTTTTCTCATTTTTTTCATATCAACTTCATGATGAAACTTTTAAATTTTAACTAGATCATTTACATAATAAGCGTGAACTTCAGTTAGCTTATGTGATTCAAAAAAACGACTATGCAACGATGCAACGACTTGCTATTAACACATTTTTGAACACTACGTTTCACAAAAATGGCATTTGACACGCTTCTTTTATGCGGATTCCTAATCATCTCATGTTTTTGGATTACGGTATGCGGAGGAAAGAAAAAGAAAAACCAAAAGAAACCACCAGGAAAATCAACGGAAACAGCAAAGCCGCTAGTTGTTCCTGACAATAAGGCGGATAAAAGTAAAAAATCGGCAAAATCGAATGTGGATAAACCGAAAAGTGAAATGAAGGATGAGAAAAAAGAGGATAAATCAAAGAAAAGTGAGAAGAAAGATGAGGAAAAGAAGGATGAGGAAGAGAAAAAGGAAAAAGAAAAAGAGGATGAAAATGAGAAAAACGATGAAAAACGAAGTGAAATGAAAAAGGATGTGAGCAAAGTGGATGATAAAAAAGATGAAGAAAAGGATGAAGAAAAGAAAGAAGAAGAGAAGAAAGAGGACAAAAAAAAGGAAAAGAAAGAAGAAAAGAAGGAAGAAAAGAAGGAGGAGGAGAAGAAGCCTGATGAGAAGAAAACAGAAGAAAAGAAAGAAGAAAAGAAGGAAGAAAAGAAGGAGGAGGAGAAGAAGCCTGATGAGAAGAAACCAGAAGAAAAGAAAGAAGACAAAGCATCCGATGGAAATCAGGGAGGGCCTGAAAAACCACACAGTAAGTTGGTGGAATAGACACTAGATGATTTAAAATAACATTTTATAGTTTCTGCTGATCCACCAGGTCCACTTATTTTCAGAGCGGACCAATCTGCTCAATCGAAAGTGACACTGAAAAATATTCATGACAAGAAAGTCATGTTCAAGCTCAAGTTGTCAGATAATGTTGCATTCCAGTGAGTTATAAATAGGCAATACTATTTTAAAATCTATTTAAATACAGAGTGAATCCAGTCTTCGGAGTTTTGGAACCAGGAAAAACGATTGATGTCGCTGTAACCCATCGAAAATCGGCACCGAAAGAGGGCAAAATGGTTATTGTGAATACAGTGGTAAGATATGAAACTGAAAATATATGCTATATATTTTAAATTTGGAAAACTTTCAGTTGACTGGGGACGAGAAGAAGGTCGCCGAATTGTTTAAGCAGGTCACCAAGCCAACTGGAGGACTTGTCACTGTTAAATGGATAGCAAAGTGAACTGAATTGAAATGAAAAACAATAAAGTGTTGTGACCGATTTCTCTTTTAAGCAATTACAAAGCTTATCTAGAAGCTAGTTCGCTGTAGTTCTCAAAGACGTTTGGAATGACTTATTCGGAGTTTTTTAAGAATGTCGAAAATTCCGAGTTACAAAATTTTGGGATTATTGAACATTCCAATTTTGAAATTTTCGAAATTTCCCGATTTTCAGGCCCAGGATCCAATAGTACATTTAGTTCTTAGGATACATTGACTCCAAGGAAACATGGGGTTTTGAATTTCAAAATTTTCGATTTTCAAAGTTTCGAAATTTCGGAATTCTCCGATTTTCAAGATTCAAATTAAAGGCCAATTTTCCCATCACAAACATGCGAGAAATTGGAAAATTAGCAAACCTATTTCAAAAACTCAAAAAAAAATATTATCAATTATTCCGCCCGAGACCCACAAGGAAACTTTTCGTAGTCCGAAAAGCTCTGATTCCAAAAAAAAGCTTCGGACATATTCCGGTCGGAATTTCATTCCGAAAATTGGCAATGGTCATAATTTTCGAAAATTTCGGAATTCTGAGCATCCCTCGTAGCCACCTGAAATTTGTTTCGGAGAATCTGAAATTCAGAATATTCCTGATGTAATCCTAATTTGCTTTTACGTGCTTTTTGAACCTTCAACTTTGATCTTTCTGATTATTCATTATGGTGTTTTTATTAGCTTTCTACCTTTTCTCCGATTCAAATTTAGCATCTCTTTAAAACGAACTTCCAGTTAAAGGAAAGAAAGAAAAAGAACAGGTTTAATCTGAACCTGTCTCCTTTCTCATTTTCCTGTGGATCAAATGTCAAACGGTGATTTCGTTTTCATTGTTATCCTATCACACCCATTATCTTCGATATCTTCCTCTCTCTTTCATCATCAAATTGGCTTTTCCCATTAGCCGCTAATGCGTTCTCTTTTATTTTTCTCACTTTCCGTTGTTTTTACTTATGCCGGAATTGTGAATCGGATGAAAGAAGACGACGATAATCTGAAATTTTCCTTCGGAACCATTGAGAGTGGACAAAACTATGGAGCTCGTCCATATTTACAAGTGTGTTGAAATTTTGAATATATCAAAATCCGTTTTATTCTAGATTCCGGTTGATGGAGAGAAGCTAACCGTTCCCAAGGCTTTTTACCATTATTCTGAAAACGAAATGTCAGCTGGAGCAAGTTTCGGACTTCCAGATGAAACACGTCTTCTAGACACAGATGGACTTTTTGTGAATAATCGAAAAGAAATCAATGGAATCTATCTGCCAATTCCAAATATGGACCCTATTAATCTACATTTTGTGAATCAAAAGTGAGTTTTCAGAAGAGCTTCTTTTAGCTAATACTGTCTTCTAGAGTTTTCGAAAAAGGAATCGACACTCGAGCACATGAGGAATCACCAGAAAGTGTGCTACATAGAGCAAAAATGTTAGTGAAACTGTCACAGTCGCTGTTAACATCTGCTTAATTTCAGGATATGTCTAACAGGAAGTGAGTTTGAATGTGAACGACAGCTTCTGAAATATCATCGAGCGAAAAGTGAAACGCTTCGAAGAGAAAGAATGCCGCTTCATGAACAACTTATGGAATTGGTAAGATATCCCTTGGAACCGTAAAACCTGTAATAGAAGGGCCCCACACTGTTAAGTTTGAGCTAACTTTTTTGCCTCCTATGCAAGATATAGAAAATGTGTCAACTGATAAAATTTTTGGGAGATTATGAAAAAACTATTCATCAGCTGACCATTTTTTAGTATCTTTGATAAGTTAGAACCCCTTCTATTACAGGTTTTACGGTATTCGCATGATTAACATATTATAGGGGCAACTATCTTCATCAGCCAAGATCCATGATAAAGAGGGAAATGGAATGGGTGTTGTTGTTGGAATGCCAGGATACGATCCATTGTACATTGGAGCAAACCTTGGACATGACAATGATCAGGATTTGAATATTCGATTTGCTCCACCGGCATAACTTTCGAAAAACGGTTCAATTAACGGGTTTATTCTTGTCCCAATATGTAGTATAATATTCTTCTGGGACATAAATAAATCGGAGCTGTCGCCCGGGCTGAAGGTTAGACAACGCCAACTACCGTAACCTATTAATTTTTGAAATTTTTTGATATGTCTGAATAATAAAACTGTCAGCTGCGTGTTTGCAGACTCAGTGCAAAACCTCCTAATTTTGACACTCCACCGATTCCG